GCTGTTATTTAAAGAATTATGAATTATGAATTATAAAGCAGTATATAATAGTATAAGTATAAGTTTTAAGTTACGATTTACGATGTATAAAATAAGTTATGAAGTTATGCTGCTCTTTAGTTTGTTTGTTAACAAGACTTGCTTTGTGTAAAATTGCGTTGCTATGCTATGTTTTGTTTTTGTTGATATGATTATGTTAAAATTGTTTGTGATTATGTTAAGTTATGTTGAAAATGTTTGAAAAATAGCAAAAACACAGGTGGCAAATATGAACTAGCTCTAAACAGCTTAGAGCGGCTCAGATCGTTTTCAAAAAGAGTGTTTAGTAATAGTTCAGAGCGGCTCAGAGCGATTTAGTTCTTTTTATCGTCAAAAGCACCATTTTTAACCGAGTAGTTCAGAGCGGCTTAGAGCCACACAGAGCGGCTTCTAAAGTTGAAAATCATGTAAACAGAACTAAATAGCTCAGAGCGGCTGAGAGCGATTTCAAAAGGGGTGTATAGTAAAAGTTCTGAGCAGCTCAGAGCGGCTCAGAGCGTTTTCTACAGTGGCCAACTGAAAACTTTTTTCAAAATATTTCCAAAACATATCAAGAAAACAGGCAAGCAGGCATGTTAGCACGTTTTAGACTAGATTAAGTTACTGAAACATGTAACATATAACATATAATAACTTTATAATTTATACTAATTACTAATTACATTGCAAACACGAACATGGCCATGGATCATTCCATGACTCTACATACTGCTTTGAAACAAAGACCTAGCTGGAACACCAAAAGACACAACAGACAAATGCTTCTCATTTTTAAGACGTCCGTGTGTGTGTGTGTGCTGTGTGACGCGTGAGATGTGCTTCTTAAAAGCTTGGCTATGGCCATGGGCCATGGCTATGGATATTGCCTTTTGCTACCTCAATTTCATCTACTGACTAACTGCCACCAACTAAACAGTGGTGCACCTGCAGCCCAGTCACCAGCAGCGCCCCATAGCTCAGGTTCAAAGCTTCTTGCTCCCTTTTGTTTAAGCCAATGCAAGGCCCAGGGTTCATCCTGGTGAACAAAGGAGGGTGCCCCGGCTTGCCTAGGCGCATCTTCCTCTTCCATTTTTTGGCCAACTCCTTCACTGCCTCAGAGCGCTGCCCATCCTGGAAAGTGGCAAGGGATGAAGGGGACGGGTTGTGAAATTCCAAGACGAAATTTTGAAATCGCTCTGGGAAAAAGTGCGGATTTTTAGAAATGGCTCTGTGATTTTTAGAAATGGCTCTGTGATTTTTAGAAACAGCAGCGCTGCTCCCCCAAATAGTCCTGTGAAGGCGCCGGCTTCGTCACGGAGTCACCGCAAACTTCCCTCACGTAGGCTCGGCTCTTTGACACAAGTCCCCGGCCCTGGGACCGAAAAATTGGCAGCACCTCCTGCTGCAGCACATGTTCGAAAACATGCTTCACACGCTCAAGGGAAGCCAGCTTGACATCGACCAATACGAAGTAGGCCCTGGAGCGACTCTGCGGCAGCCCCCAGTCGCGTGAACTCAGCTGATGCTGTTTGGGGAGAATGACGCAAGTGGAGGTGCATGATGCATGATGGTAGTAGTGATGCTGATAATGAGGATGATGACGACGACGACAATGATGATGATGGTACAAAAAAAAGCGGTGATTTTTGAATGGGAGAAGCAAACTGATTGTCTATTGGTGATTCATGATTGATTGATTGATTGATTGATTGATTGATGATGATGATGATGATGAAGATGATGATGATGATGATGGTGATGATGATGATGATGATAATGTTTCAATGATGTTTCAATGATGTGTTGATGGCAATGATAATAATAATGGTGATGATACTGATGATGATGATGATGAGGAGGATGACGACAATGATGATGAAGATGATGATGATGATGGTGATGATGATGGTGATGATGGTGATCAGTAGTGATGATGATGCTGATGGTGTTGATACTGATGATAATGGTGATCAGTAGTGATGATGATGATGATGATGATCCCCCTTGAAAACAACCAAATTGAAAGCCACTTCATGGACCTGCTTTCAGAGAGTGAATCTCAACACTGGGCAAAAAGAGGAAACCAAGTCTCAAAATTTCAGAAGTAAAGTGATCACGCAAAAATCGTTGGATACTTGGGCATTGTAGCATGTGTCTTCTGCCAAGGCGCTCCAACTGCAGCTTGACCAAGTGGTAGCCAGGGATTGTGTCCAGGCCAATGTATTCACCGGACGGAAGCTGTCCATACAACATCCATTCAGCAGGTGTCTGGCAGAGTGGGGGCTGGCAGAAGGTGGCTGAAGTAACAAAGTAAGACACAATGCTCCACTGGGAAAGTTCTGTAGTTTTTGTAAAGAAGAATTTTGTCTTGATAGGGTGCAACCTCGAATGAACTTGCAAAGTTGTTGCGCCACTCTTTCTTGATAGCCTTTCTGAAATTCTGGACCTGATTGCAACAAGGAATCTTGACTTGATTGCTAGAGTTTCAAGATGGTCACTGAAACAGGAATGTCAGGTAGCAGTTGCCTGAATGAAGAAGTATGAAGCCCACACACTCCAAATCCAAAGCCGCTGGGAAGCAATGTTTTTGTCTACCCGCACTGACGTCCAAAATGCCTGGAGCCCTCGAGCCTCGAAATTGCATTAATTATCCGGGAATACAAATGACTCCGATTGGCACGAGTGACTGGGCACGGGCGTCACAAATCAATGCGTCCCTGAAGGATGGTTCTTGCAACGTTTGCAAATCTCAAGAGGCACTGCGTGCCTCAGATACTTTTCACTTCAAACATTCGGACAGACATGAAGGAATGAAAAGTGACTACATCACCAGTGCATATGGGTTTTGAAACTGCAGGATTTGTGACTTGACTTGTTGAAAGTCTTGAATGCCAAGAAGGCGCAAACAAACACAACAGCTAGCCAGGGCCAAGACCTTCATTGTAGGGCAGGTTTCAAACCGATTAATGGAAAAAAGCGAGGGCCAGGGGACTGATAGATCAAATTCCTCATATCCCTATCAAACCATGACTTTACCATTGAACATATGGAAACGTGCTAAAGTGCAATCTGACAATCAAAAAAAGACTGAAGTTATGTAAGGTATGCAAAACTTCAATCAGCTCACTCACCCCAATTTTGGAAAAATGATAAAACAGGAGGAAGAGTCTTTCCAGCACACTTCGCTTTGAAGTGGATTTTGCCTCTGATGACATCCTCTTTGATACCAGTGCCCAAATTCACGTAGACAACTGCTGCTGGCACAGGGGAGGACTTGTCCGTGTCCTGTCCCTGTTGTTTTTTCTGGGTCTGCTTCTCACATCTTGGACATTGGCCCTGGCTATGGACTGCATGACGGGCATTACTCGGCAAGCTTGCTCCTCCGCATGCTGAAGCAACCTTTGTGGTCAACACTGATTGCCAAAGAAAAAGTAACCATTTGCTGGGAACCCTTGCCTGACCTATCCCAATACTGCCAATAATATATTCATTGATTGTATTGATTGTCGTTTATTCTGTATGCAAGCATGACTGATGCTATCTTAAGGCTCTGTCTATCAGTCCGTGGTCAGCCCACTGCTCTCACACTCCTATCTATCTATTCCACTCCCATCTGGCTTTATATTTCTTTCCTTTCCTGTTGTCTTTGTCTACCTAGAGAGTTACCTTGGCTTTTTCAATACCTAGCTACATACCTACCTGCCTGCTTACCAACCTGCCTGCCTGCCTTGCCTGCCTTACCTGCCTTACCTGCCTTTCCTACCTTCCTACCGATCTACCTACCTACCTATCTGTTTATTGACATTTATTGACCTATGCCTATGCCTATGTAGTGGCGGTTTATCTTTCCTATTCCTATTCCTACCCATCCGCCAATCCAACTATATGGCTTCGGACTCATCATATCTACCTACGTCCCATCTACCTATACCTACCTATCCCTTGCATGGCATTTATTGGTGCCTTGCTTCCAATCTGAATGCTTCAGCATCAATACCAAAGTCAACGCAAAAGCTGTGCAGAAAGGTTGCTTTCGGGGCATGGAGACAAAAGTAACAATACAGTGTGGCAGTACATTACATATTATATATTGTATGTATCTGTATGTATCACTGAACTTTATTAACTGTAGTAAAACTTGTGGCTGGCCAAGGTGATGCTAGAAACACACATGCCAGTCAAAAAGCCAAAGAGGGTGAGCATCACAGCAATCCCCAGCAATAGATCCATGGCCAATGGCGTTGAAAAAAGGCAAACTTTCTTGGGACTGGGGTTTTGAAATGCTTTAGCCTGCAGCGGTGTGAAGATGCGAGCAAGTCCTGAGGCCATTGGCCATTGGTCTGTATTTTTTCAATACTGGACTCCGGACACTATTCTTGAAAGCAGGGCCCACATGATTGCCCACTCCATGCTGTTCCAGTAACATGATTGCATGTGCTGTGCGTATTTACAATGGCTCAAACCGCATACCTCACATCTATTTTTCTCACTGACGCAGGCTGATGTGCACCAAATCTGCAACCAACAATATGTGCCTGCATGCTGCATCAGAAAAACACATAACAGCATACAGTCGTGCATCGGGCCAATGTCACGGATTCACGTGATAATGAAAACTACAAGATTAGCAAGCCAGTCAAACATGGAATTTGATGGTTCTGTGAGTTCTGTTCTGTGACGTGTCAAAAGTCAGGTCTCTTTGGCTTTATCCGATTCTGATGAGCTGTATCATTGTATCATCATATTTGATGAAGCCCTGCCCTGGACCCCGGCAATTAGTGGAGGGATATTTGCACATGAGTAATCAACAGCATAAATCTTGAATCGATTAGAAAATGTTTCACCAACTAGAAGGTTGGGTAGCCTGGTGTGAATGTCAATGAATTTCAAGGGGTGAGCATGGAGCAGTGGGTCACCTTTGTCTTTCTCACTTGAAGCCACGTTTGTCTCTGATTGATCCCTTCAGGAAAACCCTGAATTTTTTATTGCTTGGGCAGGGCGGCTAAGGCGCCAGCCAGGGCCTCTTGGAGGCTAGGCTCTAAATTGCCCACTCGCTGCAAAGCATTCATTTGTTTTCGACTGTGTGCTAGATAGCCATCTCTGGCAATCAAATGCTGCAAACACATGGCATGGACCCAAACACTGGGCTTGACAGTGCTGTGGTACCAGCAGAAACGTACGGATCCTTTCTGAATCCTGCCCCCACAGAAAAAACAGGTGGACCTGGCAGAAGCAGCATGCGAGATGTCTGACACGCCAAGGTCTTTGGAAAAAAACGTTTTACCAAATTTACCTTTCACTGCTGTGGATGCCTGGGCTTTGGGCATCTGCTGTGAAGCCAGTTGTTTGGATTCTGCGTGAGACCTAACAGCGCTTGGGCCAGTTGAGGATGAAGAAGGCAAAGATCCCGGTTGGTCAGGCTGGTCAGGCTGTGTGGCCTGCAAATTTACCTGAGCAGCAACAAGGGCATCATGTCTCTCAACGATGGCGCGGGCCCTCTTTTCCTCTTTGACAACATCATCTGAAAAGGGCAGGGGCTCCTCCACCTCCCCACCGCTCTCTGTGTCTGATCTTGAGCTACTTGAAGAGGAGGAGGAAGTGGAATTGGTGGACGAACTTGAAGGCAATGGGCCTGGGCTTTTTGAGCCCAAAGGTTGCTCACTCTCAACGGCAACTGGGGCGTTCTGCTTCTGTTTCCTGTTTCCTTTCTTTTTTGTGGGCTTTGCTGCACGCTTTGCCCTGCGTTTTGGCTCTCTCTTTGATTTCAACCCAAACGGCAGCCTCAGCTGCTTCTTCCGGACATGAACCTTTGTAGATGGGTCCAGCTTGAAAGTATTGACAGAAGCGCCCAGGCATATTTTCAAAACATCATTTTCCAGAACCAACGCGTACTTGAACACCTCAACTGTCACACATTTGCTCTGTTCGTCCACAACCATTCTCTCAAAAAGCTGGTGGCTAGTCCAAAACAATCGTGGGTCTACCAGCTGAACCTCATTTGTGACTGGATCCGCTGTTGCTTCGATCAGAATGTGTAACCGTGGCCTTTTCATGCAAACCCCAAGAAACCCTAAGAAGTCATCTGCCTCTGTTTTCAACAGCAGGAGGTGGCCAACTTTCAAATGATGATCAATCAGTGCCCTGCCAAAAACTTCTGGCAGCTTTGAAGACAACATCCGGCGCTTAGACTTCTCGCACACGCCTCCAAACCTCGTATGGCACAGTTTGTCACACGTAATGCAACTTGGGTCATCCTGGACTTCATCTTCCCTGTCAGTTCCCTGCTCTGTCATGGGCCCCTTGTCAGCGAGCATGGGGCTGAGGGTAGTGGAATGAAAGCGCTCTCTAAGGAAGGCCTGACAGTCAGCAAGGGGCGTCTCCATGTCAATGAACTGCTGCTTTAAAGCTCCAGTACCTTAGATGGCTATCAGTTCAGCAAGAGCCAGGCACTAAGTGTGCACAGGTGAGAATGTGACTGCGAAAAATATAGCTAGGCTATGTAGGTCCACCTCGGTGCTGTGGCGGTATACATACAGATATCCTCTTTGCAAGACTGAAAGAAATCTGCAAACTCAACCTACGTAGCGTAATTCTGCCTGGTCATGTGTCAGGTATGGTCATCGCCGTCGCCTTTGGAGTCGCGATATCTTATATCTGTCTCTGACAGTAAGCTGTGCAGGGCACCTGTATGCTGCACGGCATGCCTTTCATTATATGAGTGTGAGCATGCTGCCTGTACGCATTCCCTTGCGCATATGCGGTGCTGCTTCAAAATTAGTTGACCGGCCCGCTACTTGTAATGCATTGATGTTGTACTGGGTTGATGCTTCAGCCTGCTATGTGTCATGTGTGTGTGTAAAATGGTCTTGCAATAATGTGTGTGTGCAGGTGATGCTTGTGAATTCTGAACTGACTATGTATATAAATTGAGAGAATATAGATAATTGAATTTGTAGTAATATCACATCTCATGTCATGTCAGTTTGAAAATTAACGACTGTGCTGCTGCTGCATGCCGTACGCCTGTGCTGCGCGCAAATATTGTTAGATACTGTCTGCTGTCGGTTTTCAAGCTGTCAGCATGTCTATAGCGGTAGCTACAGAAAGCAAACGGCAGTTTGCTGATGTATGCAAGTACGTGCCAATCTTGGGCCATAAGTTAAAGGGTCCCCCACCCAAGTTTGGAGCAATAGTTCCAGCAGTTTCAGTCCCCCCATCCACCCTCACCACAGCTCACCCAGCAAGTCAGCCACAACCATCAGCATCGCCTACGGCCCGCGGTCGTAAGCATATCAATGCGTCTAGTCTAGCATGGCTTTTTTTTGCACTTTTTTTTTGCGTGCTTTCTAAGATGCATCACTTGCGAGGCGAGCATCGCTTGGGCCCACCGGTCGTAAGCAACGCTTTGCGTTTTGTTGTCCAACCGTGTCAAATCCATGTTTGGTATGAGCACGCAATATCAAGCAAAACAAGATAATACTTTGTGGTTATGTGGCTGTCAGGGGTATGAGGCTGGAAATTGCTCAGAAATGTCAAGGGGTCACCCCGCCTTGGATTTTCCAGGCTCATGGGTACCAAACTATTTAATGTCTCCTGAAATATCAGATATCATGTAAGTGTAAAAAAAGTATGCACTATATATACAACAACAGCGGTACATGTTTCACGCAGGCAGAAATGTCATGTCCATGGAATAGCTTTGTAGTGTGAAACATGCGTGCTGCATGTAGCACGCATGTGATGTCTGAAAGCTACAACCAACCACCTACTGGCAAGCAACTCTCGCCAAGTTGGGCTGGCTTTGACCACAAAGGATCACTATCGAGATTGCTGAAATTGTGGCGCAGCCTGCCCATGGATAACTTCTTCAATGCACTCGTCCCCACTGACTCTTCCAGCTGTGTCTTGGGCTCCCCTTTCACACCTAATGGCAAACCCTTCAGTTCACACCGTGCAAGCTCTTCAAATTGGGCTTGGATCTCATAGGCGGATTTGTCTTCATATGGGAGGGCGTTCCAATCTTCTGACAGGGAGGCCACAGCCTGTTTGTATTCTTCTGGATTGAGAGAGCCCATGTCAGAAAGCTTTTGTCGCTGAAAAACGTTCCATGCACTGAGCCGCCGAAGTTTCGAAGAGGCGAGCTCTGCCTCATGCTGCACAGCCATTCTTTTGTCTCTTTTTTGTCTTGCAGCAACCTGGTATGGAATCAGCAGCCCAAACACTGCAGGGGCCAAGAGAAAAAGAATACCTCACAGCCTCACATAATGCCCCCCACAAATGGCGCTTTTGTTTGCAGAATGCATTTATATTTATATTGTACCCTTTCGCGCCGACCACATGGCCCTAGCAGGGATTCAATGTCAACTCACGCATGCGGCTCTGCTTCTATTTCAATTCACAGCACTTTCATTGCTGCTGCAAAAAAGGAAACGTATTCTATTGGTGCTGTGTCAAAACTCAAAAAAGAACAGTGAAATTCTTGTGTGGACTTTGGAAGGAGATAATTTTGAAACGCGTAGCATGAATTGCGTGGGTGAAGTACTGCCGTGGCATCAAGCGCGCATGGAAGCTGGAATGTGGCGAAGCTTTACTAAAGTGCAAAGGGCAAAGGGAAGAGCATCAGGTGAATCAGGTGTGCATGGACTGAGGGATACTGAAGACAAAAGGTGGAAGGTACGAGCGCGGCATACTATGTGGAAGCTGGAGAAAGTTGCGAGTGTATAGCGTACCGCAGCGTACCACCGTAGCATAACACGTGAACGGAAATTGCGCTGGAGAAAGTTTCGAGCGTAGCATCAAAGGGAAAGCTGAGAGCGTAGCATTGAGTGATGCGCAAGATATTAAAATATAAGACAAGGTTCCAATCGTAGCATCAACTGTGTTTTGCAGGTAACTGGAGTAACTGGAGAAAGTGAAGAGCATCAATGTAAATGCATCAAGCGCATGAAGAAGTTCGCTGAGAAGCCAAGAACGTAGCAAAACATCAAGCGTCAAGCGTACTGTACCAGGAAATTTGGAAAAAGTTCAGAGTGTAGCGTCCAATGCACTTAGAAGTTACCCAACAACGCAACACAACTAAAAGCGGTTGAGAGGGCTGGGAAGGTGCATGAGTGAATGTTCAAAGGCCGACCAGTTCAGTCAGTCAGTCAGTCAGTCAGTCAGTCAGTCAGGAGTGTCGCATCAAGTGTGCATGCGTTCAAATTTGAATAAAGCGCACCCCACCCCAACCCAACCCAAACCAAAATCCATGTAAGATTGACACGACCTTGTCAACAATGAATTCTGAATCTTTTTGGTGCCTTTATGGAAGGGGGTGGGCAAAAACAAAACCAGTTAGACCAATGCCCATGTTTACAAACATAAAAAACCAGTGTCATATTTTAGACTACAGTACCAATCCTTCTCCCTCCACCTACAAACCACCTCTTAAACTTCAAAAAAAGAGACAAAGGAAGGCAAACCAAAATCAAGTGAAGGTAACTGGTCTTGACCGATCCCCAGTGGAGTATTGATTTGAGCCGCCAGATGCACCATGCATTCTCAAAATTCCGGAAACTGTCGCCTTGCCTGGGAGAGTCCGCTCTTCCACCCAGTGCCGGGCGAGCTCAAAGTCGCGAATGGCAGATTGAAGAAAAGATGATTCTTTTGCAGCTACAGGTGTTTTCACTACCATGTTCCCTCTGTGACTGGCAATGTGTTGCACATTTCCATTTTTGATTTCCACTGCATCAGAGCTCACCGGTGAATGCGTTGCAAGGTCGTGGAGTAACAACTGCACCTGGCATTGGACAGACTTTTGCAATTCTTCTGGCTGCGTGGCCAACTGACTTGGAAATCCGCAGAGCAATTTCTTACTAAAGGCATCGTCGAAACACGCGCTACAAAATGCCATCTCTTCATGGAAGCTGTCCCACTTTTTGACGAAAGTCTTCAAATCCACAGACGACAACTCAAAAATTTTGTATGGACATGCGGAGTAGTCATGCACAAACCGCTTCCAGGTATCTGAAACAATGAGGATCATCATGGAGAATATAGTTTGCAGAGTCCCAGAAGACTTCAAATTGACCCCTGTCGCCGCTAAACATCCCAGGCGGTGAGTTGTCATCTCAATGTACTCCTCAATGATGCTCCAGCCAAAGCCACCAGACACCATTGACAAAAACAAGTCTTTGCTCTGGGCCGTAATCTCTCTCCAAGATTCATCTTCTGATCCAAAGAGTGCAAGCTTGGTCAGCTCTGCACTTCTAGCAAAAAGCTTGTTGATCCGGTGGTCCATGGGCTGTATCATGAAAGTAATGATCTGTGAGCCCTCCAAAAACTTTTCCTGCATAATTTCCTGCTGCACAAGCTCTCTGCGTTTGGCATTGTATGCACGGAAGCCATCACCGTTGTTTGGAAACAAGTCATCAATGAACCTGCCCTCTGCTCCTTTTTGGCTATCAAAATCAATCTCTCCATCTGCAAGAAGCTTGTCCACCAAGTCAGACTGCTGGTCTTTGCATGCTGCATCCTTCCCAAAACCCATCGCCCCCAAGGCTTTGGCTAACAACCCATGCAGCGTTGTTCCGAAAACAATGTATGATATGGCTTCGTCGTAGTGCTTAAAGCGGTACAGAAGAGGGACCGGGTATCCTCTTGACAGAGAGGGAATGATCAACTTCAAGCATTTCATCAGGGAATCAGCATACCCATTGCAACATGGCTTCCCGTCTTGCTTTTGAATGCAATAGTGGAATACACAGTCAGAAGACAAGGCACCGTTGAGAAAATCCAAGCAAGCATGAAAGGTTTTCTTCAACAGCTTGGATGAACATTGAACAGAGGCCCTCAATCTCTGGTGGGTTTTCTGCCATTGGCAAGATTCTTCTGGAAGCTTTGTCACTTGCAGGTACACAAAGTTTTTTGAAACATAGTTGGTCAAGGCTCTCGCCAGAGATTTGCGGAATGACATAGTTTCAAACAGGTGAGAGAGCCGGACAACCGTACTCCATAGTTTTGGAACTGACAGGACTACTGGCTTTCGAATGAGACAAATCTGATGAATTGCGCAGCGAAATCGTATGGCAAGTTGTTTTTCCTTGTTGCTCTGAAAAAGTTCCAAGCATTCAGCCCGAAAGGCCGCCTCATTTGCTTTCAAAGCATCACCCGCGAAGACAAATGTCTTCCAAGCTGCTTGGGGAGTAGGATCTTTTGGCGCCCCAAACCTTTGGAGCATCCTGCCCATACCTTGGGCTGTCAGCACGGCAGAATCTGCAAAACCTCGATGGATTCCAGTGGCGTCAGCATTTGTCACCAACTGCAGTGGTGTTGGTACACGCAAACTTTTGCAACCATCAGCCTCTTCAACTTTCCCGGTGTTGCCCTGAGCAGCCAGCACATTAATTGGGGTGTACCGAGCATGCAGACATTGGACTGTATTCATAATTGTGAACACCGTTGCTCGGTCTGCGTGAGTTGGTCCTTTCAACCGCGTGGATGTGTCGTCCACCACGTGAGTATTGATGGCATGGAAAAGTCTGGTCTCAGGATTCTCCGCTGTAAAAAACTTTGAAATCACCTCTGCCAGACAACGGGCTAGACTGTAAACACTGCGGGCGCGATCAAGCCCGAAAGATTTGTAATCAGAGACACCATCTGAAGCATACGCTCCTTCCTCCAGCTGTGCTTTGAAAAACTTTGATGTGAAAAAAAACTTTTGCAACTGGGCGCACTTGGACTCCTCATTGGCAGGACGTGGCTGCTCTGCTGCGAGTCTAGCTTTTTGTTTGTTCAACAAAAATTGGGTGCGCCCCTTCTCTGTTCTGTTTCGAAGCTCTGCCGGAGTTGAATTTTCATATCTCGGCAACTTTTCCTCCACATTCGAATTCCCTCGCAGTTGGCTAAACATTTGACTGCTGAAGGAAGGACGCAGGCTTGAAGCTGTGCAAAGCCGCGGCGATGCAAATAAAACCTTTGCATCTGAATGGAACTATTGGAAATGGATGTTGGTATGTGTGGTCGTTACCGTGTATGTCTACCTGCACTTCTCCATGTCCATGTGTCCATGTCTGGTAAAAAGAAAACAAAGGTACTGGACCAGTCTTAGCTGAATGGGGTACTTCCCAGCTTTGGCAATGGCCATGGCCACCGGCTGTGCAAAACCAGTTTCTGAATGCTGAACAGTTTTGACATGCAGTTACATCCACATGCAGATCCAGTTGCACAGCTTCGCCCTGACCAAACAGTTCAGCTAAGCTGGCGCGTTCAAATTATTCATCTTATCATATCTGTGAGCCTATCATGTGATCATGTGTTGAAAAGTTGGCCAGATTACCAGGTGATCCTTTACAAGGGAAAGGTAAGAGGTATGATGAGGAATGGCAAACCCTAGTAAGGTCCTAGTGTTGGGGATAGATCACTGTCAAATTTCACAGCCCTCATCTGCTGGTCCATGAACACTCGCGCTCCAGGCCTTGAAGCCTTCATAGTCAGGATTGAGACTGGTGGCCAAGGCAGGAAATCGGTCAAAGATTCCCATCACCTGCATAAGCCGCTGGTGCGATTGCGAAGCTGTAGCAGGTTCAAAATGATGAAGTTGACAAGCAGCTGATGCAGCTATTTAGAATCAAAGATTTGGGAGAACAAACTTGACATGTTGAAGGGAAGGGATGAGACCCTGCAAGCCATTCTTACTTTAGCCTTGTCCTCAACCTGTCTCTTATAGAGTTAGAAATGGAAGTTTGATCTGGATTTCTTTTCCTCTGAAATTCATTGTGTTGCTAGGCCATAAGTATAGCAGTAGCAAATCATTCCTACAACCGTGTTCGGGAGCTGCAACATGGAGCTGCCAAAATGACAGACAGGCTGACAGACAGACAGACAGACAGACAGACAGACAGAGGAGATCTACTAGATTGGGTTTGTGGCATTGAGGCCGCAAAATCAATAGTTAAAGTCAAAGTTATTGTTATTCTAAAAATAAGATGTGTAGGATTTATTCTCATCCGCATTTGTTTTTCCTTTCCAGGGTGTGATGGGGCAATGTCACAGAACGGACCCCCAGGATTCGCCAGGCTGGTGAACCAAGATGCAC